GATGCTAGTAATATCTCATCACTGTTCAGCTATTGACTGTAAATTTGATTGGTTGATTAAAAATGCCATCAACTATGCCTAGGTACGATGCTAGTAATATCTCGTCACTTTAAGCTATTGACTGTAAATTTGATTGGTTGATTAAAAATGCCATCAACTGTGCCTAGGTATGATGCTAGTAATATCTCATCACTTTCAGCTATTGACTGTAAATTTGATTGGTTGATTAAAAATGTCATCAAATATGCCGAGGTACGATGCTAGTAATATCTCATCACTTTCAGCTATTGACTGTAAATTTGATTGGTTGATTGAAAATCCCATCAACTATGCCTAGGTATGAATGATGCCAGTAATATCTCATCACTTTCAGCTATTGACCTTAAATTTGATTGGTTGATTAAAAATGTCATCAACTATGCCTAGGTACGATGCTAGTAATATCTCATCAGTGTCAGCTATTGACTGTAAATTTGATTGGTTGATTGAAAATGTCATCAACTATGCCTAAGTACGATGCTATTAATATCTCATCACTTTCAGCTATTGACTGTAAATTTGATTGGTTGATTAAAAATGCCATCAACTATGCCTAGGTACGATGCTAGTAATATTTCATCACTTTCAGCTATTGACTGCAAATTTGATTGGTTGATTGAAAATGCCATCAACTATGCCTAGGTACGATGCTAGTAATATCTCATCACTTTCAGCTATTGACTGTAAATTTGATTGGTTGATTAAAAATGCCATCAACTATGCCTAGGTATGATGCTAGTAATATCATCACTTTCAGCTATTGACTGTACATTTGATTGGTTGATTAAAAATGCCATCAACTATGCCTAGGTACGATGCTAGTAATATCTCATCACTTTCAGCTATTGACTGTAAATTTGATTGGTTGATTAAAAATGCCATCAATGTAACAGTCCAAACAAAACTTTTTACTTCTTTGGTTGCAGTAAGACCCCCACACTTTGAGATATTTGCATTGTTAACAAAATAAACTGACCATTATTTCTAGGCATTTATTGTAGAGATCTTTGGGATTCCAGGCATTTATTGTACTGATCTCTGGGATTCTAGGCATTTATTGTAGAGATCTTTGGGATTCTAGGCATTTATTGTAGAGATCTTTGGGATTCTAGGCATTTATTGTAGAGATCTTGGGGAAAACTGGAATTCTAGGCTGTGCTTGTAAGTGAAGTATGCTTAACCTTTTCACAACCAGACTTTCTCATCCACATTTTTCAGCATTTTTTTACTCTTATTCATCAATATTTCTGGTAATGAACCCTAATTTTGCAGCCAGTAGACAAAAATTTGAGTTAATTTTCAGCTTTTACCCCAATCTTCGAAAGGAAAGTGCAGATTTTAAACAATTATTTTGTGAATTTTTTATGTAATTAGGGAACTGGTAGTGAAATAGTTAAGTTTGTGTACAGAAAATTAAGTTGATTTGTGCATGCAATTCAAGTGTGGTCTGTCACTGAACAAATCTAAAGTCCACAAAATGCATGGCTTATCCAGTATTACAAAGTATGGCTAGAACAGCATAGTATATATACACCGGTACATTGTCTTGTTGCACCGGCTACTTGAATTTGTGCTGTTATAGCGCCCTCTATGTACTCAACTTAAAAATTGGATACACATGTAGTTTCAAACCACAGTCCCTCTAGAGGGACTTAAATTGGATAGAGGGAGTGTTCAAATGAAACAATTAAAATTTCAATTTTTAGATAGTTTGCTAACCCACGACAGCTACTGAAATGCATCATGTCCATTTGCTTCCAAGTCAATCTGATAAGTCAAGAGGGAGTCTGTACATTCACTGCTGACTAAATATGGCTTAGTTATGTTACAGTATACGTCAAAGTTAAGCAGAATTTCATCATATGTACTTGTGGGATTGTAGCCATTTGTGTACTGGCATGTATACCAGCAATTAAGTGCATGTATACGAGTGAGCCTACAAAACCAGATTTATCAAACACAGTAATTTCCATTATTTTCCTTGCTAATGGCTTGGGAAATTTACTACACAAGATTAATAATATGATATTGTAGGGTCACGAATTGATATCCTGTTTATCCCATGTATAATTTTGTAGCTTCTAAAGGCTAAAATAAATGCAGGGGTCTTAATTTGAATCAGTGAAGATAACCCCCCCCCCCCCACATTTCACATTCGACTCATACAAAATTAAATTTCTTCTAGCAAACATTTCAGCT